GTCTTAGTTTAGACCTGGTTTAGACCTGGTTTAGTCCTGGTTTAGTCCTGGTTTAGACCTGGTTTAGTCCTGGTTTAGTCCTGGTTTAGTTCTGTTTAGTCCTAGTTTAGACCTGGTTTAGTCTGGTTTAGTCTGGTTTAGACCTGGTTTAGTCCTGGTTTAGTCCTGGTTTAGTCCTGGTTTAGTCTTAGTTTAGTCCTGGTTTAGACCTGTTTAGACCTTTTAGGACCTGATTTAGTCCTGGTTTAGTCCTGGTTTAGTCTTAGTTTAGTCCTGGTTTAGACCTGTTTAGTCCTGGTTTAGTCCTGGTTTAGTCCTGGTTTAGTCCTGGTTTAGTCTTAGTTTAGTCTGGTTTAGTCTTAGTTTAGTCCTGGTTTAGTCCTGGTTTAGTCTTAGTTTAGACCTGGTTTAGTCCTGGTTTAGTCTTAGTTTAGTCCTGGTTTAGTCCTGGTTTAGTCCTGGTTTAGTCCTGGTTTAGACCTGGTTTAGTCCTGGTTTAGTCCTGGTTTTAGACCTGGTTTAGACCTGGTTTAGTCCTGGTTTAGTCCTGGTTTAGTCCTGGTTTAGTCCTGGTTTAGTCCTGGTTTAGTCCTGGTTTAGTCCTGGTTTAGTCCTGGTTTAGTCCTGGTTTAGTCCTGGTTTAGTCCTAGTTTAGTCCTGGTTTAGTCCTGGTTTAGTCCTGGTTTAGTCCTGGTTTAGTCCTGGTTTAGTCCTGGTTTAGTCCTGGTTTAGTCCTGGTTTAGTCCTGGTTTAGACCTGTTTAGTCCTGGTTTAGTCCTGGTTTAGTCCTGGTTTAGTCCTGGTTTAGTCCTAGTTTAGACCTGGTTTAGTCCTGGTTTAGTCCTGGTTTAGTCCTGGTTTAGTTTAGTCACGAGACAGAATCTGACCGTCAGAGAGAAAAGTTTGTTGACCCTGATTCAGTTTCATCTTTTTCTTTTAATGATCTGATCCATCGTCACAAAATTCACACATCGATTTTTTTTTAATTCAGAAACAGTTTGGGTTTGTGACGTTTCCAGTTAAACACAATCACTGTTTTTGCTACTTTAAAGGCAAAATTTGTAGTTTTGTATTGATTTTTTGTTGAAAACTGAACTAATTTGACATAAACAAAATAATAAACTCATTTTAGAATAAATATAGAGTCATTCAAACGTGTGTGAATAAATCTGGATGTGTTTTTGAGGATTTAACAACATTTTGGTAAATAAAAACTCGTAAGAATAATTTTTGTGATTTCTGGTGACTTCCTCTGGCCGCTAGATGGCGCCATTTCCTTTATAATGCAGCGTACAGTGAACTTTAAGATAAAAACAGAATCTATTTGTGTAATTTTGAGCTAAATATTTGAAATTTACTTGTTATGTAGAGTTTAAATTTTATTCTTTTCTCTTTTTTATGAACAGTATGAACCCACACTGAAAAAAAACAACATTTACTTAAGTTAAAATGACTTAAATAAAGAACATTTAACTTTATTTGAGTCGATTCTACCAGTGGATCAAGTGTTTTTGTCTTAATTTAAGCAACATTTGATTTTGTTTTTTATTTTAACTGTGAAAAGTTGTTTATTTTGTTGATTTGAAGTACAAAAAGTCTTGTTCCATTGCAGATTATTTGACTTTTCAAGTGAAATTTACTCAAATCTTGATCAAATTTTTTAATTCAAGTCGTCTGAACTTGACTAGATTTTGTTCTTTAAAGTCTTAGTTTAGACCTGATGTAGACCTGGTTTAGTCTTAATTTAGTCCTGGTTTAGACTTGGTTTAGTCCCGGTTTAGTCCTGGTTTAGACTTAATTTAGTCCTGGTTTAATCCTGGTTTAGTCCCGGTTTAGTCTTAGTTTAATCCTGGTTTAGACCTGGTTTAGTCCTAGATTAGACCTGAAGTAGTCCTGGTTTAGTTCTGGTTTAGACCTGAAGTAGTCCTGGTTTAGTTCTGGTTTAGACCTGGTTTAGTCTTAGTTTAGACCTGGTTTAATCCTGGTTTAGACCTGATGTAGTCCTGGTTTAGTTCTGGTTTAGACCTGGTTTAATCCTGGTTTAGTCCTGGTTTAGACCTGATGTAGTCCTGGTTTAGTTCTGGTTTAGACCTGGTTTAGTCTTAGTTTAGACCTGGTTTAATCCTGGTTTAGACCTGATGTAGTCCTGGTTTAGTCCTGGTTTAGTCCTGGTTTAGTCCTGGTTTAGACCTGATGTAGTCCTGGTTTAGTTCTGGTTTAGACCTGGTTTAGACCTGGTTTAGTCTTAGTTTAGTCCTGGTTTAGTTCTGGTTTAGTCCAGGATCTTATTTTAAGTGCAGTAAAATTTGTATTTTCACATTTTAGGAACAAAAACTTTCAGATATTTTTACTTTTCAGGTGAAACTGACTCAAATCTTGATCAAACTTTCTTAACTCGAGTCGTCTGAACTTGTCTAGATTTATTTTTTTGTGGAACAGGTTTCGTTTCCTTCACATTTTCTTCTTGTTTTTGTTGTTTTGCTTCATGTTCCGTCTTCAGTTAAAGATTTACTTCTGTCATTGTGAAACTGTGACGTGACTGAAGAATTTTAATGATCCGAGTTTTGTTGAGAGTCCAGTGTTTGACTCCGCCCACCGCCCACCGCCGCCGCCGCCGTCGCTCTGGGGGTTCACTACACCAGCAGCTTTTACATGGGACAAAAATAACCTGTCAACAAATATTCATGAAGGAAAACACCAGCTATTTTAGGAAAGTGAGCGTTTGTGCGTGTGACTTTTTGACCACACAACTTAAAGATGCATTACGTAACTTTTCTAACTTCTAAGATGAAGGTTCGGCTGTTTTCTCGTCTCTGTGAAGTTATTTCTTTGTGTGAAATGTACGGCATTAAACGCCTCTGCACAGATCTGACCCGTAACTTGTCTCCATTGTAATGAGAGTTTGTTTCCATATTCTAGATCGGACATGTCAAACTCAGGCCCGGGGACCAAATTTGGCCCGTGATATAATTATATTTGGCCTGTGAGATGAGTGAAATCAAACCTGCAGCCGCCGCCGACAGATCGACTACAAACATACGGCCCGGGGGCCAGATCCGGCCCTCCAAGACCTTTAATGTGGCCCTCGGCTGATTTTCTACTAAATATTTGAATTATATTTTCTGTTCAAATATTGTAAATCCTGGTTTAGTCTTGGTTTAGACCTGGTTTAGACCTGGTTTAGACCTGGTTTAGTCCTGGTTTAGACCTGGTTTAGACCTGGTTTAGTCCTGGTTTAGTCCTGGTTTAGACCTGGTTTAGTCCTGGTTTAGTCCTGGTTTAGACCTGGTTTAGACCTGGTTTAGTCCTGGTTTAGTCTTGGTTTAGACCTGGTTTAGTCTTAGTTTAGTCTTGGTTTAGACCTGGTTTAGACCTGGTTTAATCCTGGTTTAGACCTGGTTTAGACCTGGTCTGAAAATTACAATATTTTAATAGAAAATATAATTAAAATATTGTAATGATATTTTTTATTAAAATCTTGTTAATTTTCTGTGGTGTTTATCACAGCAGCGTCTCCAGCGTCTCTGTACGTGGCCCCTCCCACCAGAGCAGCACAAATGAAGACTTGTCTCTTTCCAAACGCTCTTAAAGGACGATCGTTTTGACTGTTGACCGTGACACCCTCATCAGAAAAATGTCCAACATGAGAAAAGTGGAGCCGAGTGCAGGATTTTACAACAAAAATGGACTTATTCCTGTTTACAGACAAGTTCATGTTAAAACTTTGTGTTGAAATTGTATTTTTCTTAAAGTTTCAGGTTGTTCATAATATTATAATATTTTGTAAAAGAAAGAGTTCATCAATTAAAAAAGATTTCTGTAATAGATTTGTGTTTCTCTGCACAAATATTTGAACTTATTGTTATTTTTGGGGTTTATATGACATGAGTTTTCTGATCCGGACACTTTGGATCAAAGTCGGTTGGACACGACCCCGGAACAAAATGAGTTTGACTCTCCTGGTTTATAGAAACATGATTTATTTAAAATGTCGTTATTATTTTATATTCTGTTTATTCTGGATTCAGTGTTTAAACAAAACTTTTATTAAACTTTTATTTGAATAAGAAAAGTTTTAACATCACAGATCTGGAAAAAAGAGAAAACATGCAGATGTTGGTGAAATTTTTCTATAAATATTTAGTTTGTGCCACGACTTTGTCCCAGTTTTTAATTTTGTCCCTCTGTGAATTTGAGTTTGACACTTCTGTTCTAGAACATTCAAGGAAAAACAACTGTGTAACTTTTCTGATACATCTCCATGGAAACCTGCCTGTTTCCATGGAGATGTCGCAGAAAAGTTTACATGAACTTTAAGTGAATATGTCCAGAGGGAATTTTTGGAGGTTTTTGGACACTGGAAACATCCAAACTGATAAAAATATTTGGGGAAAACATAAAAACGAGCCTTTTCCACACTGACCTCCTGTGTTTTCTGAGATAAATATGTTTTTTTAAAAGATAAAACAATAAGAAACTTTTGAGTCTGTTTGTTCTATTGACGTTTCTTTCACCGAGGGCGAGAACGAAAAACCCGGACGTCACAATATTCGTCTATTTTTAATGTGTCAATATGTGGACGGTTTATCAGATCTATGTTTAGTTCAACTCCAAGTCCCGAGAACTTCAAACATGACGAGGACTGAAGGTGTCAGACCGAGGAGCCCAAGAGCAGTGACACGAGAACAAGAACCGTGGACTTCTGCTTCTTCTGCTTCTTCTGCTTCTTCTTCTGCTTCTTCTGCTTCTTCTTCTGCTTCTGCTTCTTCTTCTGCTTCTGTGTCCTTCAGGGTTTTATTTTCTCACACTGACACTAATCTCTCTCTGTCTGTCTCATTAGCACATGACGTTTGTTTGAAGCCTACTGTACGTTCCTCTGCACCTGTCAGCTGACCGCACCGCACCTGTCAGCTGACCGCACCGCACCTGTCAGCTGACCGCACTCCTCTGAAACACAGAAACATCTGATCTGCAGCAGGACAAAGAACCAGGAGTCTGTGGGAGTTTTCATGTTTATTTTGCAACTCATGAGCCATAATTGATACCAGCGAATGTGTAAAGCATTAACGAAGTGTGCAACAGTTTAAAAAACCCAGAGACTTCTACAACAACGACAGACGCTTCAGTTCTGCTCTATTCACAAAATATAGATATTAAGACGCACATGCCACTGAGGCAAAGATCTGGAAAAATACAAAAGCGTGTGGGATGGAAACCCAGAGCAGATGTGTTTTTGCAGTGAAGCTACACTTAAAGAGAAAGTTATAAAAGAGGCACGTCTGTGCCGCGCTCCAGCTGCTTCAGGATCCTCGTTACAAAGTGTGACGTTCAGTTGTTCAGAATGTCCTGTTGATGGGACGAAGCAGAGGAGAAGTGCACTTACGCCTCTCGCTGTCAATGAGCTTATATACAAAGAGATGGGAGCAGGTACATTCAAGAGCAAAGGTTCATAAAGTGCTGTCCCCACTGTGCTGGTCTGACTGATTGTGACGTAAACACTGGACAGAGTGACTCGCCTCACGCGGATCATTTGTGCAGATTTGCTCAAATGTTGCTCAAATGTCGTTTTTGATCCGAGTGTCCGAACCCGTGAGGATGAGATGAGGTAAGAGGGAAACCGCATCAGGCCGTTCAGTGCACATTTACACGATGAGCAGAAGATTATGTACAAAAATGAGCCAATCACCTTGGCAGAGGTCAGTTAAACTCCTACATCCAAAAAAGCCGCACTGATTGGGAACTGCGCACAAAGATGCGCACAAAGATTTGGCACCAAACTGTTGCCACTTTGAAAATATTTTATCAAAGAGGATACAAAAGTCACGTGAGCGTCAATCATTGTCGAGATTCATTCAGAATGATTAAGCCAAGTGCAAAGGCACGCGCGCGCACAGCGCTCCCCACGCGCACGGAGACACTCAGTCCGTTTGGCACGCGGGGAAGTGCACGGGGCTCTTCTCCGCTGACGTCTCCGCTGCGTCACCGTCCGCGCTCTCGCTCGCGGGACTCTCCTCGTGCTCCTCAGGCGAAGCGGCGTCGACCTCGCGTGACCCGTCGCCGTCAGCCTCACGTGACCCGTCGCTGTCGCACCGGAAAGAGTCTTTGGTCTGTGCGGCGGCGGCGAGGTGCGCGGAGAGACCCGGGAACGCGGCGGCGGCGGCGGCGGCTGCGGCGGAAGCGTGCGCGGGGTAGAGCCACGGGAACGGCGAGGCGAGAGCCGCCGCGGGGTACATGAACTTCTCTGAGCCGCTCTTGTCGAAAAAAGGCATGTAGGAGGCGGCGGCGGACGGGTTGATGAAGTAGAAAGGCATGCAGATGGGCGTCTGCTGTCCCAGGCTCGTTATTCCCATCAGAGAGTTCATGAGTGACAGTTCCGGCCGCGTGGGGTCCGTCACGGGCCAGTTCATCTTTGGTTTCTTAGGCGCGCGCTCCTCTCCAAACTCCTGCTTGATTTTCATTGGTTTGGAGCCGCGGCTCTTGTCACAGTCTTTGTCTTTGTCGCTCTTGTCCGCCTCGCCCCCGTACCCACTGTCCGTGTCCGTGTCGTTCTCGTTCAGCTCCCCGCCCTGGGTCCTCTGGATCACCGGGACGCAGTTGGCCTGACCGTCGCCCGGTTTCTGCGCGTCCTGCTGCGCGTCCCCGCCGCTGAGCAGCTGATGCTGTAGCGGGGGCGCGCCAGACTGGAGCTGAGCCAGAACTTTGTGGAGGTGGTTGATGAGCTGTAGGCACCGCTGTTCTCGAGTGGTCCAGTTCTCAAACTGAGCCAAATACTGCAGGACCTCTTTGGCGCACGCCTGGAAGCCCGACTGGAACGCGTCCAGGTCCGCGTGGAGAGGTTTGATGGACCGATCTCCTGAAAAACAAAACACACCTGAGTCAAATAAACCCGTGTGTGTCACGTATAACGTGCTTCAGGCATGAACAGGAGGAGCATGCGTAAAATGTGTGATCCAAACAGACGCGTGACCGTCACACCAGGGAAACTTCTCTTACCGTTTTCCAGCGCGAGGATTTTCTGGTGCTGCTGCTCCGTGACTGCGGTCAGCGCGTTTAAATGCTTCAGCGTGAGCTCCAGCACCACGGCTTTCTCCAGGTGCCCCAGCGTCTACGGAGACAACACGTGTCTGCTTAGATCACCGTATTACCGCACTCCCCGGGACAACAAACAAACCCTGAATCACTGCGCGCTTTACCGAGAGCTTGAGGTGCTCGGGCAGGAGGTCTTTGAGCTGACCGATGCACTCGTTGATCCGGTCCCGTCTCTTTTTCTCGATGAGCCGGTGCGGCAACTTGTACGCGTCCTGTGAGCAGAGACAGAGCTCAGCACATGCACTTTATTACACCGAATGAGTCTCAAGTTTGAGAACAGAACGCACCTTCCCCCCGTCCTCGCGCTTGATTCCTCTCTTGGACTTGCACATGTACAGAGAGGGGTAGTCCATCCTGACACACAAAACCGCACTTTTAACACACAATTCTACTCAGTTGGAACCGGCTGCCCCGAGAAAACTCACCCCAGAAAATCCGCGTGTTCCATGAATTGTCTGTCCTGTAAACGCGCGATCCTCTCGTCCATCGCGCCGCTCTTCGTCCCGGGTTCGTGCCTTGGCTCTGGTTCTCGTGCGTAAAAGCGCCTCTCCGCGGCGTGTTCAGAGCGGAGGCTTGGAGATGCTGCACTGTCCGTGTCCGCGCTTCACACTGCTGTCTTCACTTCCCCTGAGCTGCCACTTTGCACGCGCTCAGCACAGTGGTCAGGGCGCACGCGCGTCTCCCCGGTAGGAAACAGCTCCGTCTCACGTGTCGCCTGCACCAGCACAAAGTCCGCTAATTAGAGCGAGTTACAGCAGCCACCGAGCCGCTCCAGCCCGAACTGCGCAGAGAAACGTGATGAGACCGAACAGCGGAGCACACGCACACGCACACGCACACGCGCTGTCCCCGCGTAACCCGCACGATGTCTATGTGATTATACACATAAAGAATGTGTATGTGAACATACCCCATAAAGAATGTGTATGTGATTATACACATAAAGAACGTGTATGTCTTTATAAAGAACGTGTATGTGATTATACCCATAAAGAATATATGTCATAATAAAGAATGCGTGTGCCATTATAAAAAGTGTGTATGTGATTATAAAGAACGTTTAAGTCGTTATACTTTATAAACACGTTCAGTTTGCAGAGTTCCCACTGAAATTATAAATAATATTAGTAAATAATCATCTCAGTGTGTGAAGTTTCAGCTTCAGTTTCAGCTTCAGTTTCAGCCTCTTGTCCGCGGTTTTGTGAAAAGTGCTGATTTAAAGTTTGATTCTTTTGCTCGGAGGGAAAAACCGCCGCGAGCGCCGTAGTTTGGATCTGAATGCGCGTGCGCGCGCAGCCGTTTGTCGAGTCACTCTGGGGCACGCGGGGGCACGCGGGGGTAACCTGCTCGTGCCACAGTCATGTTGTCAGTCACCATGGCAACAACCGCCCTATGTGCGCGAACACGTGCGTCTCCGCGCGCGCACAGCCTGCTGTTTATGAAGAAACCCGCGCGGCAGAAGTTTCTTTAAAACGTGACGCGTCACTTCCGCCGCGGGCTCTGCGGATCAGACTTTCCCGCGTCACACCTGTTGTCCCGCTCGCGCTCCGGTGAAACTTAAAAGAGCCGACAGAGCCGCGCGTGCGTGACGCCCTCACATGCCTCGTGATCCCCTTCCTGTCAGTCATGTGACTCCTCCTCGCGCTCACGCTGAGCCGTCCAATCAGCGCCGCTTTAATTTAAGACGAACCTGCGCCACATCGACTTGACTCAGCTCCTGTTTCCCCCTCAAGCATCAAACTGTACGAGCCGAGAGCCGAGAGCCGAGAGCCGTGTGTACAGTCTGCACGAGCCGAGAGCCGTGTGTGTGTGTGTACAGTCTGTGTGAGAGCCGTGTGTGTGTGTGTGTGTGTGTGTACATGTGTGTGTGTGTACATGTGTGTGTGTGTGTGTGTGTGTGTGTACAGTCTGTGTGTGTGTGTGTGTGTGTGTGTGTGTGTGTGTGTGTGTGTGTGTACAGTGTGTGTGTGTGTGTGTGTGTGTGTGTGTGTGTGTGTGTGTGTACAGTGTGTGTGTGTGTGTGTGTGTGTGTGTGTGTGTGTGTACAGTGTGTGTGTGTGTGTGTGTGTGTACAGTGTGTGTGTGTGTGTGTGAGTCGTGTGTGGCAGTGCCCCTCCTCCTCTTCCTCCTCCTCTTTCTCTGCTCTAAATGTGGCTCTTTCGGATTCCCGTCCAAATGTTTTCCATATTAGTTCAGCGCGTCTGGTTTAGCACAGAGTCAGCGCACGCGCGGGGCGGGTGCGCGCGGGGAGGGGCACAGACAGAAGTGCTGGTCCCAGTGAAAGTGTGAGAGGGCACAGGGCACAGGGCACTGGGCACAGGGCACTGGGCACCGGGCCGGGGGCACAGAGGGTCATCGGACATGGAGAAGTTAAAGATGCGTGAGGAGAGTCCGGAGCCGGAGCGCGGAGGATGTCGCCACACGTGCCGCTTCCCGCTGCTCCTCGCGCCGCTCCAGCTGCTCCTGGGCGTCGCTGTCGCCGTCGTGGCTTTCCTCACGTTGTCCATCACGTCGTCCCTGTTGGCCCGGGAGACGCCGCACTGGGCCGGGATCATCGTAAGCGCAGAGTTCGCTTTAATAACCGCAAAACTGCATGAAGTTGGCGCTTTCCACTTGTTGATCTTTGCATGGCGCACGCGCGTTAACACTCACAGCATCTTTTACGAGAGCACGTGACCTGCTTTTAGCCCGAGACTCACTTCCCCACAGATCTGACTGGATCAAATAACAACAACTGCACAGAAAAGCAGCTGCAGGACTTTAAAGAGACAGATCCTCGTCACAAACAGACCTGGAGTCGTGTTTTGTTTTATTCACACAAGTTTAACACACGAACCTGCACATTTAGTTTTTTCTCTCTGTCCAAAAACACTCAGTTCCACCTCATGATGTCATGTGGTAATACAGGAAGTGCTCCACTGTGGCAAAGCAAGTTTATTTGTGGAGCACAGTTCGTAAACCAAGTAATTCAAAGTGTTTTACAGCAGCAGCTCTGTGGGTCGTTTGGTTCACAGTAAAAAGTGAAGTGTTAAAATTGACAATCACAGAGTCAGTTTTCATTGACTCAACATTTTCTCAGGGTTTATCTGAGTTCACTCTGTTCTAGAGTTAATTTAACATTTTTGGAAATGTTCATAAAGTAACACTGGACCAAAGTTCCTCTTTTTTAACCTCAAATCCAGAGTTACATGAACATTTTGAGAGTAAACAGATAACACTGTGTAGAGTTATTCTGATTTAACTACAGAGGTGTTTTATTTTTACACTTTATTTGAATTAATTTAAGATGAAATTATAAACAGAACTGGTTCAAACTGGTCTTGACTCGCGGGAGTTTGAAGTGATGGGAGGAGACAAATTAACACTAAATTAACACTAAGGGAAGTTGAATTAACTTCAACCAAATCAACTCTGGAAAATAACCCCGACTCCGACACATTTAACTTTTTAATAGTTTAAATCATTAAATATTTTACCCTGAAATTTTAACCCTCCAGGTTTTCTGTGTACCAGGCCACACAGAAAGAATAAATAACTTACATTCTTTCATTTTATTACGTTTTATTTATTATCCGAGACTGAACAATGTTTTATTTTCAAAAATGACAGAATTTTCTCTGTTCCATTGGTCTGTGATTCACTCTTGTCTCAGTCAAGTGAGACATTAAAGCTCATTAAACCCACGAGCTGCAAAATGAGTAAAAATCATACGTCTTTGGAAACATTTATTTTTATATTTACTAAATACCACAGTTTTTGTGTCATTGTGTTTTGTATCATTTTATTTTGTCGTATTTCTCCTCCACACCTCAAATGTCGCTCTAGGTCTGAATGATTTTAACAAAAAATTGAATTGCAATTTTTCTGGCAGATATTGAGATTTTGATTTCATCCACGATTTTTATTTTTCAAATCAAATTTCAGTGCACATGAACATTTACAAACATCACAGGGACTTACATCACTTCTGCACCGACGATTTGACACTGGACCTAAAGTCCAGTTATGCAGAAACTAAAGGCTGTGATTGGTCGTCTCTACCTCAGCTTTACACACTTCTCCTGTTCTCCTCTTTCCTTTCTTTCCATAAACACTTAGTAATAATGTGTTTAATGCAGCGTTTTAGTGTTGTGGAGGTGAATTACTTCAGTTGCATAAACCTCGACTCAGATCCATAAATCCATAAATTGGGTTTTAGGAGCACTGCAAAAAACAGCAGCTTTGACGCTTCTAAAATAGTGTCGTCTAAGATCACGTTTACACTGAAATGAAAAATCCGAATCACCCGAATCACCGTATTGGAAACGATTTGTGTCCAGACACGTCGTTTCTGTGTCCACAATCCTTCCTCATCCACACAACTTTGAGCAGATTTGTTTAAGTTTTACAGAAATGAAACTTAAAACCACATGACTCATTTGCATAAACAGAGCACTTATAAAACCAGTTCTTTCCTTGTGTCTGATGTGGTTCAGTTTCTGTTGGACTAAAGGACACAGTGACTCAGTGGAATATGAGTGTTCTCTCTGTGACAGAGGGGTGTTCTGCTGATGCTGAGTCTGTAGTAGTAGTTGTAGCTCCGCTGTTTCCCGTTTGTCTCTGGTTTGTTTAAACTGTTTTCCACAATATCGTCACATGAACGATGTCACAAACCCAGAGAATCAGAAGGAGCGAGTCACAGTGACGTGTCCAATAAGGACGAGACTCGAGCTCCGACATCAGAGTATCAGTGTTTTCAGGAGTCCCACAGTCCCCATCACATCTGGACCAACATGAACTCGTGGAGCTGGAGGCACCAGATCGTTTCGTCTCTGGAGCCGTTTTCAGTCAGATTAGTGTGAACGAACACTGCACCCACAACCAAAACCCGAAAGCAGCGGCTCAGCTCCGCACCTCACGGAGGTAAACGCTCTTTGCGGACAAACTGCTCGGCGTTCTCTCTCTTAACTCCAAGATTAGTCCTGGTTTAGGCCTGGTTTAGTCCTGACCCACCCGTGTGTAAAAAAAAAAAAAATCAGTGAAACAGCGAGACCGCGAAAGGTGAACCGTGATATATCGAGGGACGACTGAAGCTCAATGTCGAGGCCTCACCTCCCACCCCCGGTAAGGTGTCCGGGTTTTCACAAATGGAAATATGGTCACCCTATGTGTATTAACTTTAGTTTCTGTAAAGCGTAAACAAATGTGTTCAAAGTTGTGTGGATGGAGAAAACTTGCGGACACAGAAACGACGTGTCTGGATGCAGATCGTTTTGACTGAATGACTTTAAGGTTGTATAGAGGATCTTTAAGGGAAAAGAAACACAGCGACAGTCCTTCAGAAACACCTAGAAACACCTCCTCCCGCCTCTTTACTCTAGAAATCACGTTTGTTTACAGCCAGCGCGTGTTCAGAATTACTGTTGAAGTTTTCTGTCTAGAAATAATTTAGCGACCGACGCGTCAGTTTTTAGACCCTTCGTCTGCTTCATTCGCGGCATCGCTGGAAGAAATCTCCAAGAATCACCTCAGTTTGTCTTCGCTCCTTTTCCCCTTCTCTTCTTCTTTCAGCGACCTCAAAAACCGATCTTATTTGCGGCGAACTGGTCGTGGATTCTCGTCTGCCATCGCGAAAAACTTTGTGCGAACTGCGAGGAAGCGACAGTTTGAAAAAACCTCTCAGAACCGTCGCATAAACCACGTAATCCGCTGCGCGCCGAAGAGTCAGTTACACTAGAAACGTAGGGAGTTTGATTGACAACCCAACAGCCAATAGAAAATGAGGGATCCTCGTTTTCTATTGGCTGATGTTTATCTGGCGTCAACACGTCCACAGTTGATAGATTTTCATTCTTTCTTTTTTTTGGTCATCATAATTACAAAGCTGCTGCGTCTCTGTAATGGTGTTTTAAACTTTCATTGACATTTTGATATAAAAAAAAATCTTTCATACCACCTTTAAAGCTCACAGGGTTCAGTTTCGTGGACTGTAGGTGTTTTTTGAGGTGAGCCGTTGGGCGTCACAGAGTCCAGAGTAAACACAAACCCGCGGGAACAGTCGGCCGCTTCAAACCGTCCCGTCACTCATTAACACGGCTCCCGCTCGGATCCGTTATGTAAGAAACAATCTGCCCTGACGAGAGGAGCGCGGGATCCTTTGACCGTCTGCTCACCTCACAGAGTCTGTTCACCCGAGACAAGGAAACTCTGTGTCCTGAAAACGTAAAGATCAAAATGTGCAGAAGGTTCAGCACAGACGCACAGCAAAATGTGAGATACAAACACTTAAATCTATCAGGAAATGACTTAAAATTAGAGAAATTAATCCATGTGTCGTTCGTTTATTTGTTTTTCAATATAAATTTTTTTAAAAAGCAACAGTTTTCTTCGTTATTTGTCTCTAAAACTAAAATAAAAAAACAGATAATGATTCATTTTTTCAGTTTTCGATTTTGTGTTTAAATGAAAAATGGAAAAAACGGACTGAACTAGGACTAAAACAGGACTAAAACAGGACTGAACCAGGACTGAACCAGGACTAAACCAGGACTGAACCAGGACTGAAACAGGACTGAACAGGACTGAACCAGGACTGAACCAGACTAAACCAAGACTAAACAGAACCAGGACTGAACAGGACTGAACCAGGACTAAAAGGACTAAACAGGACTGAAACAGGACAGAACCAGGACTGAACCAGGACTAAACCAGGACTAAAACAGGACTGAACCAGGACTGAACTAGGACTGAACCAGGACTAAACCAGGACTAAAACCAGGACTAAACAGGACTGAACCAGGACTGAACCAGGACTAAACCAGGACTGAAACCAGGACTGAACCAGGACTGAACCAGGACTGAACCAGGACTAAAACCAAGACTGAACCAGGACTGAACCAGGACTAAACCAAGACTAAACCAAGGACTAAACCAGGACTAAAACAGGACTAAACCAGGACTGGGACCAGGCAGGAACTGGACCGGGACTGAGACCAGGACTTAGACCGGTACCAGGCCAGGACTAGACCGTGATTGAGACCGGGACCAAGACAGGGACTAAGACCGGAACCAGACTGTGATCTGACCAGGACTGAAAACGGTTTAGTCCTGATTCAGTCCTGGTTCAGTCCTGGTTTCAGTCCTGGTTCAGTCCGGCATCTCAGTTTAAGTCACGTAAACACCGTTATCCTTTTTTTTTTTTTTCTTCCCCATTTTTCATTTAAACACAAAATCTAAATTTTGTGAAAAAATGAATCATTATCCGTTTTTTTTTGTTGTTGTTTTTTTCGGTTTGGAGACAATTTTTGGTTTTATTTTGAAAAACAAATGAAAGAATGACACACAGATTGAAATGATGTGTCCATGCAGCAAGATCATTTACTTGATAAGTTATCTTAAAATGAATGACCTCTAGACTAGAATGAAGCGTCTCAACTAGTTCTAAGAAGTTTTAGAATGAAGTAAAAGTAGTAAAAGTAAAAACAGTACACAGCAAAATGGTCAAAATTCAAGATATCAGCGCTGAAATCGAACTGAAAATGACTTAAAAGTAGTGAAATCATCTGTCCGTGCAGCAA